GGGCGTGGTGGCGCATGCCTGTAATCCAGCAGAGGCTGAGTCAGGAGAATCACAAGTTCAAAACCAGCCTCAGCAATGGTGAGGTGCTAAACAACTTAGTGATACCTTGTCTCTAAATAAAACACACACAAAAATAGGGCTGGTACCCCCCCCCCCCCCAAAAAAAAAAGGTTAAATAGCAAACCCAACCCCAGGTACAAGCATAAGAGGAGTGAAGACATGGCCACATGAGAGTATATAAGTGAACATTCATAGCTGCACTACTCATAATGGCCAAAAAGTGGAACAATCCAAATGCCCACCAATTCATGAATGTTTTGTACAATTGACACATTAAAATATACTAGAAGATACCCTGGGGGCCAAGGGTGCAGTTGATTCATAGAATACTTGTCCAGTATCCACAAGACCCTGTGTTGGATCCCCCGCCCCCGCAAATATACACTGGAATACTGGGGATAAAAAGGAATGAAGTACTAATACACACCACAATGTGGGTGGACCTTGAAAGCATGTCAGTAAAAGAAGCCAGACAGGAAGACCTGATGTATGATCCTGCTTATGTGAAACATCCAGAACAAACAAAGCATACAGGAAGTAATTAGCGGTTGCAAGGGGCTGGTGGGAGTAGGCAATGGGAGTAACTGCTAATGATGGGAGTATTCTCTTTTATGGTGATGGGGACATTCTAAACTTGATCATAGTCAGAGCTGCACAACTCCACACTGAAAATCATTGAACTGTATACTTGAATGGGCAAAGAATATGGCACATGAATTCTATGTCCATAAAACTATTTTTTTGAAATGAAACAAACCTGATTTGGTTAAGCCGTCTGGGTAGTGTCACCGTGAAGCCATCACCAAGGCCCTCAGTGTCAGGAGAAGCACTGACTTTGTCCCCATTGGTTGACACAAGGTGAACTTGTGTGCTATAGCTGGTGGCCTAGACCAGCAGGATGCAGATTGGTGAGCTTTCTATTTCAGAGGATGTGGGGCTGGGTGAATGACCAAGGTGCAGGTCACAGTGCCTAGAGGATAAGAAGAACAGTGATCATCCCCACCCTGCACCTCTTGGGGTCCATGGTGGTCTCATCCCCTGCATTGGAGTTGGTGTCCTCTCCATAGCCATAAGGGCACCTGTTCCAGGCCAGGTGCCCTTTCTCCTATCACCCTCACCCCATCAGGTCTCCAGCCTAGGTGTGGGGTGTATGGAAGGGGGACAGGGGGTTTCTACCCTTAGGCTGCTGTGAGGTTAACCAGAAGTGTTCCCAGGCAAGTGGTCCTTGTCTTCATGCTGCAGCTTCATGATTGACAGAGGAGTCTAGCGACTGAGCCAGAAATAAATTTGAACACTTCAGGTCATTCATGGCTGGATTCTTACTAGGAGGGTATGCCAGGAGGCTGGCCCCAAGACCAGGGGTGGTCAGAGCAGAATCTAGACTTTTGGTGGGGAGGTTGAGATCCTTTATCATTCTGATCTTTAACCAGAGAAGGGCTGGCCAGGATGATGGACTGGGCTGAGAGGTATAAATTTGCTGATTTGACATTGAGGGGCTGCCTCAAGGGGAGGTGATGCGAGGCACCAGGGGACTGAGCATCACTTATTCTTTGACTACTGCCCATTACAGATTGGCTTCCAACAAAGGCTGGCCAGTGGCAGACTGGATAGGGTCCAGAAAGCTGGAAACATGAGACAGGCATTATAGAATGGGACAAGGACTTTGCAACCCTGAAAACATGGCAGCAGCTATGAAGCACTACCACAGACCCCAGGGTGGGCCAAAGATCTGATGTGGCCATCTGCCTGGAGCCATGAGACCAACACTAGTGTAGGACACACAGGAGTCCAACATGGCACACACAGTGTCCATACAGAGGGTGGGGAGCTGGGCCATGCTGCCTAACTTGCAGCTCAATTTCAGAAAGTCAGTTAGGGAATCAGCCCTCACTTTGGGCATATGCATGCGACCTAAGGCTTTTGCCAATTTGGATTTTATTCTGCTAAGGACAGAGGTTGGGCACTGGGTGTTCTGAACCATAGCAACACATGAGACCATTGGGTTTCAGCTCAGCTGGATCTTCATCTCCCAGCTCAAGCCTGTAGACAACCTGTGTGTGGAGGGAGGTAGAGCTAGTGCTTTGCTTCAGACAGCATTGGGTTGGGGAGAGGACCAAGTCCCCTCTAAGGGAGATCAACCCTACCTAGGAGAAACAAGTGACACTAGAGCTACAGTGGTTACACCCCAAACAGTCTTCTTCTCCTCCTTCTTTCAGTACTGCGGATTAAACCCAGGGACGCACATGTGCTAGAAAAGTGCCATACCACTCAGCTGTATCCTCAGCACTTTTTATGTTTTTGCTCTTTTTATGTTAAATTGCCCAGGCTGGCCTTGCACTTGCAATCTTCTTGCCTCAGCCTTTGGAGTAGCTTCCATTACAGATGTGTGTCACCAGCCCAGCTTGTCTTCTGCTTCTAGTGGCCATTGGCTCTCTCCTTGTCAGTCTTCCCCAGGTAAAGCAAGGATGTGTCTTAAAAGGGGTGTGTGGGGTATGTCTGTACCTGCAGTTGGGAGGCAACTTTGCTGACCTGGGACCTGTCCCAGGGCTACTGTAGAATCTTAGCTACTTTTAAGAGAGTCTCTGGCACATCCTGGCACTGGGTGAATCTGGTGAACAGTACACACTGTTCCCACTGCAAATATCATTGGTTCATTAAGTAGTTGAACTTCCAAGTTTAACTCCCAAGTCAGTCCCAGGGGTTGGGGTTCTGGCTCAGTGGTAGAGCACTTGCCTAGCACATGTGAGGCACTGGGTTTGATTCCCAGCACCACAAACAAAAATAAAATAAAGATATTGTGCACCTAAAATATTGAAAAAAAATCAGCCCCATACCCATCCTAGTTCCTCTTCCTCCCTGCCATCTATGTGCAAACCCTTCAGTTCATTCCAGGTGCCTGTAGGACTGCAGAGGCTTCAGGGGTTGGGAGCAAGCTTTGGCCCTGCCCCAAGTCATAGGGTGGAGAGGAGGGGAGGTGGGCTGGGAGTGAGGGGGCAGTGGAAAACAGCTGACCTTTGAACAAGGGAATTGGTAGGGGCCTGACCCATCTCATAGTCAAAAATCCACATGTAACTTTTGACTTCCTCAAACTGAACTGATAATAATCTGCTTCTGATAGAAAACATTGCAGCCAATTAACCCATATTATATATTGTATATATCATATATGATGAAAGCATACAAGAAGCATACTTGAGATGGCTTTTTACTGGGATAGGAAATTTACCAGAGACAAACTGCTCAGCAGAGACCTTGAGTATCTGCATCCAAAAGCAACAAGGTTGCTGTGAAATTGTTAACAGCAGTGCAGTAGACAAGACAGTCCCTTTCATGTAGTTAAGATTTACCTCTGCATTTCTGTTTACATTTCTTTGAATTGCAAATGGTTCCATGCTTGACCTGTATTTGTGTGAGTTTTGACAATTTTTAATTTTTTAAAAAATAGATTTGTGTATGGTTATGTTAGTAAATGATATAATAGGCACTTGTCTATATAGACTTTGTGCCTTTATTTTATGCCTACATTTTTCTTCTTCTTCTTGGTATTTCTAGGCTATAAGGTTTATCTCTATGAGTTTTTTCAAATTGTGTTAACTCTTGAAAAATTAAAAAAAAATAATGAGAGAGAGAGAGAAGAGAGAGAAAGAATATATCCAAATATAGGACCCTCCAAGCTCAAACTTCCATTGTTCAAGGGTCAGCTGCACTGTAACAAAGTCTACCACTGTCTGGACATCTGCGCTGGAGGTGGAGCATGTAGTTTCCCAGAATGCCAGAGAAGCAATAGGAGGGGAGGGCAAACCCCAGCCTGGAATGGCCTGGGTCCCTGGCTGTCCTCACCCCAGAGAAACAAGCAGCTACAGATGACTGCAAGGATTGGGGGGTGTTTCTTCCTAGGCCCTGTGTATGGCTGAAACTTGGTGCCCCTGGGTGTTCAGGGAAGTTCAAGGCCTCCAGCTCCTTGGACTGCATTGCAGTGGAGAACTACCCAATTGAATTGGGACCCTGGCTGAATACGCAGTCAACTTCCTTGGAGAGAAGCCCAGGAGGAGGAGAGGAGAGACTAAGAGACTTTTCTCCACGTGTCCTTTGTTAATGTTGAACTTTGCACTTAACCTTTATCACATCCTATCTATGCACAGACGTGTGACTTATAGAGGACCCTTACTTAGTGTGGTTTGACTTATTGTCTTTAGACTTTACAATGGTGTAAAAGCAACAGTAGAAGCTGAATTTTGAATTCTGATGTTTTCTTCGGCTTGGAGAATGTAGGACTATCTTGCTCTCTGAGAGCCACGATGCAGGGGATAAACAGCCAATGCTGTAGCATACTGCGCAGCTAAGCTATGATGTTCCTAGTTGAAGGAATTAAATGCATTTTAGCTTGCGATATTTTCAGTTTACAATGGGATTATCAGGAGGTAACCCAGGTAAACAAGAAAGCGCGCGCGCGCACACACACACACACACACCGTCCCTGCCCGGGCTATCTCACAGCTTCCAGGGGAGATCTCTCAGCCTCACTCCAGGCACCCACAGACCCGTTCTTGGATTCCTAAACTGACTCCACGGCGCCTGTGAAAGGGGCCCTGGGTGACTGCGCTGGCTACTTAGTTGAACCAGGAAGTGCTTATCCGGCTAGACACTGGTGAGTTGCCGACACTCGCCCACACCTCTCGGCAGCGGGGGGTCACACTCCAAACCCCCGTTCTCCTGCCCTCAGCTCCAGGCGCCGAATGACCCACCCAAGTGCGCCGCCGAAACTGGCCAGCAGAAAGGCGCCCCTAGTGTCCAGTTCTCTAGGGTGGCAGGCGTAACTGGGAGGCTAGCGGAGGCAGGAGAGGCTAGTGTCACACGGTGCGCCCTCCACCCGCTGACCTCTGCCCCTGCCCCACTCACCCCCTCCCTTTTCTCCCCGCAGGGCCCCAGCCCTCAGGCTCCGCCTCATTAGGCCCCGCCCCGTCCTCAGGCCCCGCCCTCGACCGCCTCATCCTCACCAGGCCTCACCCGGCCCTCAGGCCCCGCCCCCCCATTCTCACCAAACCCGGCCTCCGGCCTCAGGTCCCGCGGCTGGACGCCAGCACGAGCCATGGCGTCAGGCGGCGATGGCGCGGAGGCCTCGGGCGGCCGGCGGGTGCTGGTGGTGGGCGGCGGCATCGCGGGGCTCGGAGCCGCACAGAGGCTCTGCCGCCACCCGGCCGCCCAGCATCTGCGGGTCCTGGAAGCCACGGCCTGCGCCGGGGGTCGCATCCGCTCGGAACGCCGCTTCGGTAACCGCCTCGGACCCTTTCGCGGAACCCCTTCCTGATCCCCGCTCCGGAGCCCAGTCCACTCTACCAGGGCACGAGGGCGTCAGGCCGGTAGCCCCACCCACACAGCCCAAGCTCTCTGGGCGCGAAACATGACCCAAAGCTAGTCAGGAGGCGTCTGGCCGCTCCAGCCCAGGGTCGTTCCAGGCACCCTCTCTTTCCCTCCAAGTCTTTCCTGTAAGTGCCCTGCTGAGGCAGGTGCAGGCCAGCACCTCTCCTGGGTGATCCCCTTAAGCCAGGTCTGTCAGAGTCCAGCCAATGGGAACTACCTGGCCCTCGAGGACAAAATCATGGCTGTCATGGGAAGCGTGGCCTTCAAGTTGGTCTTCAGAGCATGCTTGGGAAGGGGAGGGCTGGGGTGACCTTTCTGAAGAGGGGACCTCCAAATGGCATTTCCTCTGCCCCCAGGTGGCGTGGTGGAGGTGGGTGCACACTGGATCCATGGGCCCTCCCAGGGCAACCCTGTCTTCCAGCTGGCTGCTGAGTATGGTCTCCTAGGGGAGAAGGAGTTGTCCAAGGAGAACCAGCTGGTGGAGACAGGTGGGCATGTAGGCCTGCCTTCTGTGTGCTGTACTAGCTCCGGGGCACGTGTGAGCCTTGAGCTGGTGGCAGAGATGGCCAGTCTGTTTTACGGGCTGATAGACCAGACCCGGGAGTTCCTTCATGCAACTGAGACCCCAGTGCCCAGCGTTGGGGAGTACCTCAAAAAGGAGATCAGCCAGCAGGTAACCGGCTGGACAGAGAATGAGGAGACCAGGAAGCTCAAGTTGGCCATCCTGAACACCTTCTTCCACGTGGAGTGCTGCTTGAGTGGCACCCATAGCATGGACCTGGTGGCCCTTGCGCCCTTTGGAGAGTACACCGTGCTGCCAGGGCTGGATTGCACCTTCTCTGGGTATGGATGTGGCCCTGTCTCCCCAGAAAGCCCTCTGTACACCCCAGGGCCAAGGGGCTGGCTGGACTCTGTTCTCTGACTTTGAGAGGCAGAGGAGGTGGGGGAAGACTAGAGACATTTGCCCTTCCCATTCAGAAAAACCAGTCACTATTTTTCCTAGCTTTGTTTACTTAAGCAAAAGAGAGTTATTTTTCAAAAGCACAACTGGGAGAGGAAAGATATGTTGGAATGCCTTCTCTCTCCTGTCCCTGAGGCCTCTTAAGTACAAAGTGCTACCAGAGGGGCTTCAGCTGCAGAGTGCCAGGCAGGCCTCTCCCCTGTGACAGGGTGGCTTTGCAGGTGTGATCCATTGGACTCTCAGAAGTCAGCCCTGAGGCTTCTGCCCAGGAGATGGGCATTTGTGACTCAAGAAATGTGCAGACACAGAAGTCTTGGGTGGTTAGGAGGGAGCCCTGGTTCTCCATGCTTACCTGGACAGCTTTGTGTCCATTATCTCAGGAAGGTGGTGTTAATATTCCTGTGGCTGACAGGAAAACCACAGGAGCTGCTCCCCACTTCTGAGCAGACTCTGCACCTACCTCCCCGTGCCTGGCTGGGAGTGGTGCTCCGTTTGACATCTGTGGGAGCTTGGAGGTCTTATTTCCATCAGACTTATGGTTCTCTTAAGCAATTCTGACATCTATCTCTCCTAGGGGCTACCAGGAACTTACCAACTGCATCATGGCCTCCTTGCCGAAGGACGTGATGATTTTCAACATGCCTGTGAAGACTATTCACTGGAACGGGTCCTTCCGGGAGGGCACATTTCCTGGGGAGGCCTTTCCTGTGTTGGTGGAGTGTGAGGATGGCAGCCGCCTTCCAGCACATCACGTCATTGTCACCGTTCCCTTAGGTAGAGTCCACTTTCAGTCCCAATACCCCTCCCTGGTACAATGGCCTCAGGCTGCATAAGCTCTGGGATGTTTGCTGGGCTGTGGGCTCCCATTCTTACTCTGATAATGTTTGGATAGACGGCAGGAACCACTCTCATGTTTGTAGCAATTGCCTGCTTTGGGTTAAGGGTTTCACAGTAAGAAAATGCAAGTAAAAGTATGCTCTGCTTGTTTGGTGGGCCGGGCGGGGGTGGGGGTGGTGGATTGGAAAGGCTGGAAGTGCGTTGTGAAGTTTCGCTTTCTTGGGGAGGAAAGGGCAGGAAGAATCTGATCTGCAGATTAGGTCCTGTGGGGATCCTTGGGCCCAAGGATCTGCCCAATCTGCCCAATTCCAGATCTGGTACTTTACACCTAAGTGTGTGAGCCAAAGTTGTTTGGCCATTTGATAGCAGTGGGGCTGGCTGAAGGTGGAGTGGCCAGCGTAATTGCTGTGGACTGGACTTGGGCTTTGTGTGTGTGTCAAACCCATGGATCTGTGTTTCTGTTGGGTGTTTTATTCCTTAGAGCAGCTTCAGGAAGTGTCTGCCACTCCCTGCTGTTGGACAGCTTTGAACACGCAGGTGATGCGAGCAGTCACTTGATTGCTCAAGGCATGGCGAGTGCCAGAGCTGACGTGGGAGTCTAGGTTTGGTCGAGGGTGTGAGATGAGAGCCCTGAGGTGGCTGCAGCTGCCATGCTGTGTGCCCGGGATGGACAAGACTGTGCTGTTCTCACAAGTGGAATCATACTGGGCATATTAGCATCTGCTCTGCTTCCCTTTTTTATTAAAAAATATTTTTTTAGTTGTTGATGTACTTTTATTATTTATTTATTTATATGTGGTGCTGAGTATCGACTTCAGTGTCTCACAAATGCTAGGCAAGTGCTCTACCACTGAGCCATAACCCCAGCCACAGCTTCCTTTGTTTTTAACAGAGCTTTCTATGTCTCCAAATCAGCATGCATGGATCTGTTATGAGTCCTTTTTGTTGAACACCTATGGCTTAATTTATGTACGTCTGCAGTTCATGCTAACCAAGCTGCTAGGGCTGAACCCTGGGTATGTGGTCAGTAGATTGACCTGACCCTGGTGTCCACATTGTTCACAAGGCAGTGCTCCAGGCTTATGTCTGCTTTTAACCACATGGTAGTTAATCATAGTGATGGACGTGCAGTGGTCCTCACTGCCTGTGTCACCAGTGTCTGTGTGCATTGGAGACTGAGTGGCTGGTATGAAAGTAGATTCCAGCCGGGAGTTGCTGGCTGAAGATCTGGACAGGGTGACCCCACCTGTGTCCCCATGACCACGCAAGGGAGCCCTGTCCCCGTTCACTGCCTGTTGATGACCTTGCTGTTTGCTGCTGGTCGTTCCTCCTTTCCTCGCTGACTTTGGGAAATTGGCTTGCCGTCACATGCTGCATATGTTCCATCACCTCATTTGACTATGCTATTGTTTGTTGTTCATCCTCTTGTCTATCTCTGGACTGAAGTTACATTTTTGCCATGCAGACTAATTTTTATATAGCTTCTGATGTGGTATGGGCCTATATGTTTAACTGATCTCAAGCCACAGAGCGGAGAGACAGAAGGCTTAGGAATGAGCTTTCTTGCAAAGCAGTGTGTGGGTTCCCTCATGCAAACTGCTCCACATGACCAGTGGTGGCCACTGGGCCTGTAGTGTTCCTTTAGAGTCCCAGTGGGCAGGGCCAGCCTCATCTCTGTGTCCCCAGGGTCCTGAATGAACATGTGGCATGTTTAGATGCCTCACTGTCATTCAGGCTGGGATCTTGTTGGCACAAATTCTAGTTTCAGAACTATGTGGTGTGAATCACATCTAATTCTGAATTCCAGGTTTTCTCAAAGAACAACAGAATACCTTCTTTGATCCTCCACTGCCTGCTGAGAAAGCAGAAGCAATCAGGAAAATAGGCTTTGGGACCAACAACAAAATCTTCCTGGAGTTTGAGGAGCCCTTCTGGGAGCCCGACTGCCAGCTCATCCAGGTGGTATGGGAGGACACATCACCCCTTCAGGACACAGCTCCCTCAATGCAGGATGCTTGGTTCAAGAAGCTCATTGGCTTCTTGGTCCTGCCACCCTTCGGGTATGTCTGTGTCCTAAGTGCTCTGAGGGAGGCTGGCCCATTCATTAGGTCTGTCTGCTTGAGAAAACAACATGTGGGGCTCACTGCCAGCCATTTCTGAGGGCTTAATGGGTGAGGGGGGCATGAGCCTCTAAGGGGCTGACTACTGACATCCTGGGCCTGACTCCTGCAGGGACAGATGGAGGTTAACTGCACACAGGTTATCAGTGTCTCAAAGGGCCAGAATGTGCTGGTGGATTGAAGGAATGTTCGATTCCATTGCACTTACTGGGATTCTGTAGGAAACTGGGACTTGTTGATGCAGAAGAAATTTGAAATATGGGTCTGTTCATTTTTGGGGAGAGATGATACTTGAAGGGGATGCAATTACTGAATACTTATAAGTAATGGATCAAGCACCATAGGGGAAGGCTTGACTTCATGGTCCAGCAGCATAACATATTTAGCTGGTGCTAATTCAGGAAGTAGCATCAGGCATGATCAGAGGGTGGGGCTCACACTTTCACGGTGAGACAGAACAGGCAGTGTTCTGTGGTCTTGTGGCAAAGAGAAGTTTATATTATACTCAAGGACCTTATTTCCAGCATGAAAGACTAGGGACTCAGATGGGAGCAGGAGGCGTGGCCTCTGAGCAGCCCTTCCACTATCCCCTCTCATTGAAGAGAAAACTTACTTTCCAGAGTTTAGAAACCAGTGTGGCAGATGATGTGTGGCTCTCAGACTTGTGGCCAGGATCCCTTTATAAAGTGGTGAGGATCTCAAGAGCTTTCAACTATGGGGATCATGTCTGCACTTACCATGTGAGAAACTGAAACTCAGAAATTTAAAGATAAGTCTTATTTAAGATGACAGTAATAAACCTATTCCATAGCATTAGTAGCATTTCACAATTAAAAATAACTATATTTCTCAAACAAATTTGATGAGAAGGGTGGTGGAGTTTGCTTGTCTGCAGATCTCTTGGAGTCTGGCTCCAGAGCTGCTGGTTCTCAAAGCTGCTGCTGAGTTTACCCTGCAGCGGTGTTTTGTTTTGGTGGACAGGAAGAGGGCCGAGCTACACAGACTTGCAGCTGGAAGGAGGGAGTAGTGAGACACAGCTTTCAGACAGCTGTACCGCTCAACATGTGGTGGTTCTTGAGGGCCAGGTGTGGAGTCTGAGGCCATATCCAGGGACGTTGCACTTTGTTCCACTGAAGTCCATTCGTCTGTCTGGCACTTTGAATGGATCCTTCACCTATCTCTGATTTTGGTCATTCAGAAAATATTGGTTCTTGCAATCTTCCAAATGTTGACACATTTTGTTATATAATAAGAAAAAGTTTGGGGCTGGGCATGTGGCACAATGGTAGAAGGCTTGCCTAGCACCCGTGAAACCCTGTCACCACCAATCTCAGAAAAGTCTCTTGGTGAGGACTCCGAGTGAAGCCAGCATAGTCAGCACTGTTCACTGCACATGTGTATGGCCATGCTCACAGCGCCCCGCACCTCGCGACACGTCACTGCCAGTGCACATCTTGCAAATGATGGCTGGAGCAGCAAACATCATCTTGGTGTTATGCAGTTGCTCGGACCCTTAGAGCGCTGTCCTGGAAAGCTCTGGGACACTGTGTGGGTGTGGTGGGGCCCACAGAGTGTGGGTCCTTGCAGAGGGACAGCAGAGCTGGGCTAGCTGTGGCTCTTCTATGGTCTCTTTCCAGCAGGTCTGTGCACGTGCTCTGCGGCTTCATTGCTGGCCTGGAGTCTGAGTTTATGGAGACTCTGTCTGATGAAGAAGTACTTCTCTCTCTAACCCAAGTGCTCCGGAGAGTGACAGGTGCTTAACTTGCCAAAGCAGATTTACTGCCTTGTGCTGTTGGGTAATCTGTAGGCAGGAAGTTTACATTTCAGAACAGAGAACTAAATCAGCTCTGTGCATCTCCAGGACAGCCCTTGCTCCTACTGGTGGAGTCAATAACATTCTTATCATTGAGGAACTAAAATGCCTTTATAAACACTTACTACTTCTTTTTTCTAAAATCTGCCACCAAAATAAATGCTGTTTGTCCTTTAACAGAGACTTTCAGGTGAAGAAGCTGAGGCTCAGAAAAGTTGCTCAGGCAGCCAAGGGTCAGTTGGTTAGCAGGGCCTCTGGCCTCTGGTGTTGCCTGTTGGCCCTGGCTGTGTTTGCAGCATTTAGCAGAGCAGCTGAGAAGGGAAGAGCCTCTTAGGAACAGTTTTGAAGCTGGACACAGTGGTGCATGCTCTGTAGTCCCAGCAGCTCTAGAGTCTGTGGCAGGAGGATTGCAAGTTCAAGCAAGGCCAGCCTCAGCAACTTAGCAAGACTGTCTCAAAATAAAAAATGAAAAGGACTGAAGATTAAGCACCCCTGGTTCCATCCCCAGCACCAGGAAAAAGAAAGAAGGAAAGCACTTGGTGGCTCAGTTTTTCCCTAGCCAGTGTCTTTCACTTTAAATTCCTCAGTCTTTAAAATGAATACCAGTTGCAGACACATGATTGAGGGTTCCAGGTTGACATGCTACATCTCTGGTTCAGGAAACCCACAGCTGCCTGCGCCTAAGAGTGTGCTGAGGTCTTGCTGGCACAGTGCCCCATACACCCGGGGCTCCTACAGCTACGTGGCCGTGGGCAGCACTGGAGATGACATAGACCAGCTGGCCCAGCCTCTCCCTGTGGACGACTCCAGCACCCAGGTATGATGGCAGGCCCTGGTGGGGTACCAGCATCCCACTGCAGATCTAGTTCCTGTGAAGACCCAGAGGCACTGGAGTACGAGTGAGTGGTGGGTAGGGCTGGACCTCCAGACTCAGCCATTTTCTTTTCAAAATTAAAAGTTAATTTAAAAGTACATTGGTTATATCAAAACTATATATGCAAATAGCTTCAAGAGTCATAATTCTACAATACTGGCTAACAAAGTGAAACAAAAGTAGCTGATGGGCAACTCATCCCCTACCCAGACTATTCTTTCAAACAATTTTTTTATTCTTTTTTGTGGTGCAGGGATAAACTCATAGTCCCATGCACGCTAGGCAAGTCTCTACCCCTAGCTACATCCTCAGCCCCTCAGCTGACTTGATCTCTAAATTTACTCTCTCTGTAAAGCACATGTTTATATTATCACTTTCAAAAAAAGAAAAAAAAAAAATTGTGGAGGGCCTGGGGCTGTATCTCAGTGGCAGAGCACTTGCCTAGCATTTATGAGGCACTGGGTTCAATCCTCAGCACTACATAAAAATAAATAAAATAGAGGTATGCTGTCCATCTACCACTATAAAAAAAATCATGGAAAACATCAAATGTATACAAAAGTAGGCAGAAGCTTGCAGGGGCCTACCCTGTCCTCGGCAGCCTCCCGACCCATGGTTTCTGAGCATGGTCATACGCACATATATTGTGTGTAACTCTAAACAATAAGGACACTCTAAAAGTATGGTCGGGTGCAGCTCAGTGTAGAGCATTTGCCTGGTGTGCACGAGGCCCTGGGTTCTAATCCTAGCACTACAAAACCATAACCACAACAAAAAGCCCAGCAAACATATGTAGCTGTACTATTACGACACTAAAAAAGAAACACTCCTGAGCATCATCCAGTACTCACCATTCAGTCTTCCAGTCATCTTATGATCTTTTTTCAGCTCATTTATTGGCCAAGTCACTTATTGGTCAGCTTCTGCCCAGCTCATAGGCTCTAGCTTTTGTCTACTTCTCTGTCTGCCTGGCTCTGGAGTCTCTCCTCATCCTCCTGGGGGACTCAGCAGTTCTGGAGAGGTCACTGTTTACTGCCTCACAGCTTGGTTTCTCCAGGTGCTATTCACACCTGCACAGTCCAGGCATGAGGTCTCCTGCCAGTCTTGGGAGTGAATAGGTGAGCATGGGGCTCTGTTTTCTGTCTCTGTGTCAGCTGTCTCAATTGCATCCAACCCTGACCCTTTTCTGCAGCTCCAGATCCTGTTTGCAGGGGAAGCCACACATCGGACGTTTTACTCTACAACGCATGGGGCCCTGCTGTCTGGCTGGAGGGAGGCTGATCGCCTCATTGGTCTGTGGGACCTGCAGTCCCAGCAGCCCCGGCCCCGGCTCTGAGCTCGGTTTCTACCTGGGTTGCTCCCTTGGGGGATGCTGGGACCTGCCTTCTTTCAGTCTGGCTTGAGATTCCAGGACCTCACTGACAGTCCTTTTTGGATAACTGGGTCACCTCATTTCTTATGTCTGTCACTGGAACCTGCCAGGATTGAGCTTGGACTGATCTGGAAGTCGCTGGATGCCACTGCTAGTGGGGATGCTATGTACATAAAGCAGTTAATGCCACCTCCTTTTGTCTAGAGTTGTCCTTGTACCTGGGGCTGCAGAAACTGCCACCTTTGTTCTTGCTGTGCTGCAGGCCAGGTTGGGGCCATGTCTTCACCCTTTGTGCCCCTAGTGTGTACTCTGTCCCTGGGTACCCTTGCCCCTGGCCCCTGATCCCTGGCATCTTAAGGTGCTCCCCAAGTTCCCATTGCTGCAGTCTGGGACCACAGTGTGGTTGGCGAGCCACCCCATCTTATTGGGGAGCCAGGCAGTGCTGGCGTGGATCTGCTGGGTGCTTTCTATTTGGTCTTACTGCATCCTTATAGCAGCTCTAGGGGATAAGCCATGCAGAAGAGACAGAAAGCTCAGACTGAGTAACTACCCTGCACCAGAGCTACCATGGGCTCTTGACATTTCTCCTGGAGCACTATGGCCAGAGGGCAGGTGGGTATAGCTGGGGGGGCACTTTGTAGGGAGGCACAAGAACATCAGAAGTCTGCTACCCACCCCCACAGGCTGGGGGGCTGCTGGAGGGCTTGTGTGGGGAGCTCCTGGCCTAGGTACCTCAGGACAGTCTGTCCATCCCCATTTGGTTTCAGAATCTGGAAGGAAGGTCTCAAGGCCACACCCCTCCAGAGCTGCCAGGCTCATGCCCTTACCTCTGCAGCCCAGCTCAGCTCTGCCTGGCCCTTCCTTTCTCATACTTCATGTCTAGGTTTGTCAGTCCTCCAGGGCGTGCCGTGACCCCTAGATGGCCCAGAGACTACTCAGGCTCCCCCCATAGCATGTCATATCCAGTGCTTTGTAGAGTCCTTGCTGCCTTGTGCTGCATGAGGCACCTGCCAATCAGACTGGTGTGAGAAACATTCAACAACGCTTTGTTATAGTTTATGGTCCCAGGATATGAAAGTGCAGCTTTCTTCAAGGGCAAAGATCTTCATTGTTGATTTTGAAGTTTCATCAATTCACATGCCTTGAGGAAACATTTCTGTTTTCACAGACCCAGGCTTCCCCCTCTTTGTAGGAAAGAGAGGCTCTGAATGCCTCATTGGGAAGGGCTCTGCAGTGTACCGTGGGGACCCAGATCCAATCCAGGAGCGTTGGGAGCTCAGTGTTAGAGGTTAAGCATCATGACATCATAACATGGTAATCTGAGCCTGTGTAGTGTTTAGGACATTGTTTCAATGATGCCATTGGAGGGAGGCTCTTGTAGCCCTTTTGGGGTGAGTGGTTTGGCCTGGGGGCAGCCTGGGCAGGCTCATCTTGTCCTGCAGCCTGGAGGAGCACTGCAGTCTCATTGTATTATTAAACGTTGCAATCAGCGTTTGGAAGCATTGTTACACTAAACTTGGAATACTTGAAAAAGAAGTGGAGCTGTTTAAGTGTATAAGGTAAGTTTAAAGTATGATAGCGTTTTAAAACAAGTCTGTAAGAAGGGGCCAAACATTGACACGAAGTTTTGCTATATATACTCCGAATATGCTTAAGGGGCAACTGGGATTTTTCAGTTTTTTAATTTTATTTTCTGCGGTGCTGGTGATAGAACTCGGGGCCTTGAGCATGCCAGGCAAGAGCTTCACCGCTGAGATGCATCCCAATCTCTGGGGCTTTTTAAATCTAACTAGGGTTAGTACGTGCCTTAATTGCTTAAGAAAAATCCCACAAAACCCAGAACCTGAGCGAGAACGGCTCTGCCCCGCCCCGCCCCGCTCCGCTAAGGGGGCCAGCCTGTACGGGCTTCCTCACGGCCAGGACAGTGGTGTGCGCATGCGTAACCGCGCGGCTGCACCCTGGAGCGCCGGAAGCGCGGCTGTGGCAGGGTCGCGGGCCGGGCGAGGCTGTGCACCGAGAGCGCTTCCGGGACGCGATGCCATGCGGCTGTCCGCGGTCGCGCTGCGCGCCGCCGGAGCCGCCTGGCGCGAGTGCTTCCCCCTGCAGGGCCGCGACGTGGCACGCTGGTTCCCGGGCCACATGGCCAAGGGTGAGGTCCGGCGGGAGGCGCGCTGTCCGGGCGCCGCTCGGCGCGGGAGAGCAGCGGGGCCGCTCCAGGCGCAGGGCTTCCCGCTGCGGTCTTGCAGCGATGTCGCTCTTCTGTGGTCGTTTGCCCCGCCTCGGAGTCTCCAATTGTACACCAAGTTTGGCCCTGTGCGGCCGGCTGAGGGACCTTGTGGGGACCTGTCTCCACCAAGGGCGTTCACTCGGTGGTGTCCTCCCTGACAGGCCGACTAAAACTCTGCCCCTCCGGAAGCTCACGGGCCCCTCCCTTAGTGCTCTTGTGTTTTGCAGGGCTGAAGAAGATGCAGAGCAGTCTGAAACTGGTGGACTGTGTCATCGAGGTCCATGACGCCCGGATATCCTTTCGCCGCGCAGGAGGGGCCCCGTTCCTGAGCCAGACTGTGCATGAGACAGCAAGCAGGCAGTACTGGTCTCCGCCCACCTTTGCCTGGCCCTGGCCCTCATCCGGTCGGCTGCCTGCAGCAGCCAGCCGCCTGACTTGTCCTTACTGTCATTTAAATCAGCGCTTTTCCACCTTCTTATATGTTAGAATTACCCGGAGGCTTTTATTTTTTTTTTTAATTTTTTATTGTTGGCTGTTCACAACATTACATAGTTCTTGATATATCATATTTCACAATTTGATTCAAGTGGGTTATGAGCTCCCATTTTTACCCCATATACAGATTGCAGAATCACATCAGTTACACATCCATTGATTTACATATTGCCATACTAGTGTCTGTTGTATTCTGCTGCCTTTCCTATCCTCTACTATCCCCCCTCCCCTCCCCTCCCCTCCCCTCCCCTCCCCTCTTCTCTCTCTGCTCCCTCTACTGACATTCGTTTGTCCCCCTTATATTATTTTTCCCCTTCCCCTCACTTCCTCTTGTATGTACTTTTGTATAACTCTGAGGGTCTCCTTCCATTTCCATGCATTTTCCCTTCTCTCTCCCTTTCCCTCCCACCTCTCATCCCTGTTTAATGTTAATCTTCTTCTCATGCTCTTCGACCCTACTCTGTTCTTAGTTACTCTCCTTATATCAAAGAAGACATTTGGCATTTGTTTTTTAGGGATTGGCTAGCTTCACTTAGCATAATCTGCTCTAATGCCATCCATTTCCCTGTAAATTCTATGATTTTGTCATTTTTTAATGCAGAGTAATACTCCATTGTGTATAAATGCCACATTTTTTTTTATCCATTCATCCATTGAAGGGCATCTAGGTTGGTTCCACAGTCTAGCTATTGTGAATTGTGCTGCTATGAACATCGATGTAGCAGTGTCCCTGTAGCATGCTCTTTTTAGGTCTTTAGGGAATAGACCGAGAAGGGGGATAGCTGGGTCAAATGGTGGCTCCATTCCCAGCTTTCCAAGAAATCTCCATACTGCTTTCCAAATTGGCTGCACCAATTTGCAGTCCCACCAGCAATGTACAAGTGTACCCTTTTCCCCACATCCTCGCCAGCACTTGTTGTTGTTTGACTTCATAATGGCTGCCAATCTAACTGGAGTGAGATGGTATCTTAGGGTGGTTTTGATTTGCATTTCTCTGACTGCTAGAGATGGTGAGCATTTTTTCATGTACTTGTTGATTGATTGTATGTCCTCCTCTGAGAAGTGTCTGTTCAGGTCCTTGGCCCATTTGTTGATTGGGTTGTTTGTTCTCTTATTGTCTAATTTTTTGAGTTCTTTGTATACTCTGGATATTAGGGCTCTATCTGAAGTGTGAGGAGTAAAGATTTGTTCCCAGGATGTAGGCTCTCTATTTACCTCTCTTATTGTATCTTTTGCTGAGAAAAAACTTTTTAGTTTGAGTAAGTCCCATTTGTTGATTCTAGTTATTAACTCTTGTGCTATGGGTGTCCTATTGAGGAATTTGGAGCCCGACCCCACAGTATGTAGATCGTAGCCAACTTTTTCTTCTATCAGACGGCGTGTCTCTGATTTGATATCAAGCTCCTTGATCCATTTTGAATTAACTTTTGTGCATGGTGAGAGAAAGGGATTCAGTTTCATTTTGTTGCATATGGATTTCCAGTTTTCCCAGCACCATTTGTTGAAGATGCTGTCCTTCCTCCATTGCATGCTTTTAGCCCCTTTATCAAATATAAGGTAGTTGTAGTTTTGTGGATTGGTTTCTGTGTCCTCTATTCTGTACCATTGGTCCACCCGCCTGTTTTGGTACCAGTACCATGCTGTTTTTGTTACTATTGCTCTGTAGTATAGTTTGAAGTCTGGTATCGCTATACCGCCTGATTCACACTTCCTGCTTAGCATTGTTTTTGCTATTCTGGGTCTTTTGTTTTTCCATATGAATTTCATGATTGCTTTCTCTATTTCTACAAGAAATGCCATTGGGATTTTGATTGGCATTGCATTAAACCTATAGAGAACTTTTGGTAATATCGCCAACCCGGAGGCTTTTAAACACGCTGGTTGCTAGGCCCCCTTTCAGATCATAGTCTGTGTTGCGGGGTCCAGGCCACATGTGTTCCGAAGCTCCACACCTGTGGTGTTGGTGTCTGAATGGGCCACTCAGGCTTTCCAGGGTACCCCGCATGGAAATTTCTAGATAGGGTATGAAAGCTGAGATGAAAGGTTCCTGCCAACCTGGGTTTTCCTCTTACCTGACTGAATCATTGACAAGACATGGTGATTGTGCTCATTAATTTGTACTACTCAGACCTGGTTTTCTCACTTTTGAAAAAAGTGTGGAGTTTCTCCTGTGGTGGTGTTTGCCAGCTGTCACCAACCTGCCTGTGTAACCCCAGAAAAGCTGGGGATGCCAGCCCCATAGGCCTGTCCCTGTGGACCACCCAGGAATAGCCAAGTGCAAACGTGTGCCTGACCTCCACTGCCTGGAGTCTCTGGAAGTAGAAGTGGAGGATGACCATTTTCAGGGCTCAAAGGCTGGTTGGAACTTAAGTAACAAAATAGCAGGAATTTTTGCATTGGGCTGTAAATATATATCAATTTACTGACAGGCTGGTCAAAGGTGTTTACTGGCAATTATATGTCTGATTATTCTTTAAACTTTATAACTTTTACCTTTTTTCGGTATTGGAGATTGAACCCAGGGCCTCACACATGCTAGGCAAGTGCTGTAATGGGCTACATTCCTGTTCTTATGTCTGATCATTTAAAAAATGAATAAAACCTGTAGTCATTATTTAGTGTGTGTGATGAGAGGACTTTTTTCCACCTTTCATCTCTAGAACATTCTACTTTATCTAGAATATGGCAGGGAAGTGGTATTGGATAGTAACATCCTGGGAGAGAGTGCTGGAGGCTGGTGGATGACCGAATGAGCAGAGACTTGGTCAGCACTGAGGGAGGGTCCCTTTGTGTGGCAGGTAGCGGTTAGAGTGGAAGCCTCACTAGGGCATGTCAGAGGCCTCTGGACTCTCAAAGCTCGACTCCCTGGGAGAGACAAGTACTAGGAGAGCCAGGGGTCTCTACACAGTGAAGGGAAGAAGCTGCTGCCTGCCTGTGTTAGCCTCACGTTCAGCCCCAGAGTCCCTGGCTGAGGGCAGTACTGAGAAGGCAGCATCTTCCTTGGGGATCTCTGGGAGGAGGCCTACCCACCTGTAGGGTGGCAGCGACCCCCAAGTCCTTGGTGGCCATAGGTGGGTGGTACTTTGAGGTATTCTCTGGGAGGTTCCCCCTGAGTGATCAGGTCATTGTTTTGAGCCCAGGTGCTTTGGCAGCTAAATAGTAACTTGCTTATAAAACCTCCCTCTGAACTGGTTTCCCATTTGGGAAGCTGAGTGAAGCCATTGCCTTGCTGACTGCCTGTCCTGGCTACTGCAGGAGGTGCACCCTGTCCTCAGCCTGAAGGGCAGAATCTGAGTTGGCTTGGCAGCCGCTGGGGTACGACAGTGGACTGGGCTGGCTCCTGATCTGAGATAGGGCTTTGTCCTCTGCCTTCAGCTCTTACTGACAGGAGGTAGATAAGGTAAAGTAGGTTGATGGGCTGGTAAAGCTTTGAGGAAATTTTGCCTTAATGTTGCCACATCCCACTTTCAGGCCGCAACCCTCTGTTTCAGGAGACCCTTGGACTAAAGCCTCACTTGCTGGTCCTCAATAAGATGGACTTGGCAGACCTCACAGAGCAGCGGGTGAGGGCCTTTCCAAAAGATGCCTGCAGAGCATGACACAGATGTTGCTGGACAGACTCAGAATCAGCCAGGCTCAGTGTTCTCTCTCTAGGCGGGTTCTGCCTCAGAAACAGCTCTGCTTTTTTTTTTCAGTTGGCTACAATACCTTGATTTTATTTATTTATTTTTACGTGGTGCTGAGGATTGAGCTCAGGGCCTCCCGTGTCCTAGGCGAGCGCTCTACCGCTGAGCCACAACCCAGCCCACATCTCTGCTTTTCAGGAGGACTTGACAACAGAACAAGAAAAGCAGAGGCACCACCTCCAGTAATATTTCCAGTCTCCATGTTTCCTTTTCCCTTGGGCCTTCTGTCCCCATTCTGCTTAGCTCTGGAGAAATCTGTTAGCTACTTTGGGCCTGCCTTCCCCACCCCCAGTCCTTCTACCCTCTAGATCACAGGGTGTACAGAAGGCAGCTGGCAGCAGAAAACCTGGGTTCAGGCTGGTGAGCATGGATGTCTGGGGGCATTGCAGCCATCACGGAGACCAGTGCTGCCCAGCACAGTGTGCTTGGCATCCTGATCTTGGATGTCTACTTGCAAATGCTCAGAATGGACACCATTTCCCCAGGAGGTGGCAGTGTGCCACTGGAGGCTGCCACAGCTGAGCCTTCCCTTAGGCCCTTCTGAAACCATGAATGCTGTGTCTACTTTGCCCCACGTGGTGGCCTCTGGCCAACAGTGATCACTGTAGCTGAGGAACTGACTTTCACATCTTACCTAGTTCTAAGTTTGAGAAGCTGCATGAGGCCAATGCCTGCAGCTCTGGACATCGCTAGTCTAGTCTGGAGGTCTGTGATGGCTGCGGCACCCCCAGGTGTCCGCACTCACCAACCTGACCCTAGGTTTTCTATGGTTGGCTGCCTTCAGCACACACGGTGATCCGGAAACTGGAAGGGCTGGGGGAGGTGTGGGAGGTCCGGTTTCTCCAGAGCCAAGCCGAATTGGGCACAGGTGGGAGGGTACTTTCTGTGTGACCAGGAAATGTGGAGGCTGGAAATGTTATTGGAGGTGCTGCTTCTGCTTTTCTTGCTCTGTGGTCGAGACCTTTGCTAAGTGGTGTCACGGTCTTAAATTCAAGGCAATTTTTAAAAAGTTGTTAGTAGCATGGAAATTTCCTTGCTGCAGCAGCAGCAGTGCCTTCATTTTCCTAGGTGACTGGCACACCCCAGTGGCCTGCAGAGCTCAGGTGGCTCTGAGCAACGGTGCTCCTGGCCAACTGTTCCTTGGAGCTCAGTCCTGGAGTTTGATTGTGCCGTGCCACCCATATTTGCATTTAATATATAAAATGGCAATATCTCTTTCAGAAAATTCAGCAGCACTTAGCAGGAGAAGGCCTAAAACATGTCATTTTTACAAACTGCATAAAGGATGAGAACATCAAGCAGGTAGGCCTTTTTCTGCTCACATGTTTCTGCTTTATAACATTATTTTATAAGAAGCAGTTTTGGGGAAGATCCTGGGGTTGGCTTCTGCTTTCCAGGGATGTGGGCAGTCAGCCAGAGTATAGCTGTCCTAGAAGCCCCCTGGGGAGCCACCTACTCCTCCCTAGTGTAGGGGTGGGGACAGTCTGCCTCTGGGTCTGGGATCTGGGCACTTGAGAGTACTACCTTCAGAAGTTCAGGCAGGTCAGGCCTCCCTGTCAGCTGCTGCAGTCTGTGTGTGAGGTCCGTGTCTCCTGATGAGTGGCAGGGAGAGGGTCCCTGATGCTGGTGTGTGGAGGTGGCTGCATGGGGAGTGCATTAGGGGATGTCAGGCTGAAATGAATGGCTTTTTGTTTCAGATAATCCCAAAGGTCATAGAACTGGTTGGGAGCAGCTACCGCTACCACCGATCAGAGGTTGGTTAGTGGGGCCCAGAGCTGGTAGTGGGCCAGCCCTTTCCTGCCTGTGAGAGGATGGGGAGTGCCCTAGCAGGAGGCTTGGCCCTTCTCCTGGGTCTCTTCAGCCAGCAGGGCTGGGTGGCCCATCAGGTGGTAGGTCTCTGCCTGACCTCCTTCCTGGGCTGAGAGTCCACGGCCTGGGCAGGATGGGGCTGAGGGTCTTCCCTGCCCCTGTAGAACCTGGACTACTGCATCCTGGTGGTTGGTGTTCCCAACGTGGGCAAGTCCTCCCTCATCAACTCCCTGAGGAGACAGCACCTCAGGACAGGTGAGCCTGCACCCTCTGCTGCTGAATTGGCCCTTCTGCATCCGTGGGCTCTTCCGCCTGGACAGCAACGGAGAGGGCAGTGTGGGGGACAGCTGTTTGTTGCACTGGATTTTACACTGGATTTGTTTTCTAATGGCTTTCATGTGGGATGGTTTTCTAAGCTCGGTGGTTTTTGTTTTTCATTTGTTCAAACCCCTTTGGTGCAGATAATTCCACTTGCTGTAGGGTAGAGGGTGCGGGGGGTGTTCTTATCCCAGGTTTCCTGGACTTAGTTTGGAAACCTGAGCCCTCAGCACTGGTCTCCTGCTCATCCTCATGTTTGATAGAAATGTGGCCTGCTGCGCTCATTCACAGTGCCTTGACTGACCATTTTAAAGTTTAATGCTGGATCTAACTGTGTTGATTTTGTTGTTCATGTTAGTATTACAGTGTTTATTAACAAATCTATTCACAATATAAAATCTGAGAGCTTTAAGCCATGCTGAACCATTATTCCAGAGAGTATTTTTGGCATTAATTGGAGAGTTCTTAGTTATCTGTTTTGTTTTTTTTTTTTTTTTTTTTTTTTTCAGGGAGGGGTGCACTGGGGCACTTTACCACTGAGCCACATCTTTATTCTTTTTTTTTTGTTTTTGGTGCTGGGGATTGAACTCAGGGGTTTATGCATGTGAGGCAAGCACTCTCTCAACTGAGCTCTATCCCATCCCTCAGCCTTTTTTTTATTTTTTAAGACAGGGTCTTGCTACGTTGCTTAGGGCCTCGCTAAGTTACAGAGACTGGCCTTGAATCTACAATCTTCCTGCCTTAGCCTCTTGAGTTGCTGGGATGACAGGCTTGTGCCACCATGCCTGGCCAGTCGTCTGTGTATTTTCCTCTGTCCTTTTGTGGTCAGTGGCATGAAGTGTGTTCTTAGTGCTGTTCAGCTACCCTCACTGTCCCCAGACTTTCAGCAAGACAGCTCCTGGTCCCCCAGCCCCGCAGCCCTGGTCTGTGTCTGACCAGTCTGTGTCAGTGCAGCCCTCCTCTGACTGGCTCATGCAGTCAGCACTGCAGTGCCCGTGTGCCCTGTGTTGGAGCTCCCGTTGGAACTCTTTCTTCCTGGGCCTCCGCGTCCTCTGCTGTGTCTCTGCCAAAGCGTATTTGGATTCTTGCTCCTCTGACTCCTGAGTTGGTTTGGCAGTGGGTAGAGCCGTCCTTGGGGCGCGCCCTCAGCTGGGACCTGTGCAGTGGCCTTGGCATTCACAGTCTGGGCAGGCTGGTCAGGCTTGCTGCGGGCTGTTGGGAGGTGGGCAAGTCCAGGAGGGTGGGGCATGATGAGGGACAGCTCAGGTCTTGCTGTTGTGGGCCTTCCCAGCTCTGGGGAATGAGTCCTGGGCATGTGTCCAGCCTTGTGGCCCCTGCATCTGGCTTTTAAAAAGAGGCCCTGCGTGAGCTGTTGGGGCTAAATGTGGGTCATCATAGCCCTGGGAAGCTTGTTTGGCCTTTGGGGTTTTCATTCTGCTTGTCAAATGGGTTAGTTACATGTGTGTCTGACCGCGCGTTCTGTAGTTGTGTGTCTTGAACACACGAGAGCCCCCTTCTGTCTTACAGGAAAAGCTGCCAGGGTGGGTGGTGAGCCTGGGATCACCAGAGCTGTGATGTCCAGAGTCCAGGTGGGTCCTCTGTGGCCAGGCACAGGTGCTTGCCTGGTGCTGCTGAGCAACCTTGTTGGCCCTGCCCATGACCGTCCTTTCCCGCACTCCACTGCATCTCCACCGGGTACTCACCTGTGCCAGGCACTGCCCTGTCCTGTTGCCCAGCCGCCAGGGCACCCCACTGTCAGGAAAGGGCAGAGCCCACTTTCTACACATTCCCTTTTGGTCTCCATGGGACCTAGTGCTCTTATTTATTCTCCAAATCGGGTGAATTAAAACCTCTGGCCACCCCTGTGCTTGGTGAAAATGATGACCCTTTGGGGGTGGGTTTGCTCCTGGGCCCTCCCGTGGAGCCTCCGAGGCCTAGTGTGTGGGGCCAGCCCATCAGGAGGCTGCTGTGGGGGCCTCACTGTGAACTCTGTCTACATAGGTGTGTGAACGGCCTCTGATATTCGTGATGGACACCCCTGGGGTGCTAGCTCCTCGGATTGGAAGTGTGGAGACGGGCCTGAAGCTGGCCCTGTGTGGTGAGCTAAGCCTGGTGCCCTCCCTCCTACCTCGAGTGCCCAACGCTGACCTTGGCACAGACCTTCAGCAGGAGTAGTTGTTCCACTTTTGCCCTGGCTGCTACTAGATGCTTCGCAAAGCATGCTGGTTGCTATCTGACCCTGCCCTGTGAGAGTGACTTTCACTCTCCCATTTGACAGATGTGGGCAGTCAGACCTTATAGCAAAGGCTTAGCCAAGTGGGAGGAAGGTCAGGATGACAGCTGTGTTCTGTGGAGAGTCTCTGTGGCAGCTGAGACTGCGAGGGGCGCAAGCTTGTTGGGGACACAGATGCCAGCTGTTGGATGTGCTCACCTTTGCTGCCATCTTCCAGGAACCGTGCTGGACCACCTGGTCGGGGAGGAGACCATGGCCGACTACCTGCTCTACACTCTTAACCGACACCAGCTGTTTGGGTGAGTGGCAGTGAGGGCAGGGCAGGGTGGGCAGCCCCCGCTTGCTTGTCCTGGCCAGGTGCGGCTCTAGACACAGCGCACAGGTATTGTAGACGTGATAATCTGCACATTGTTAAAAATTGGGTAAGTCTGACATGAATGCACCTGAGACCATCCGATAATCAAGAAAACGGGCACTCCCATTGCCCATTGTGCTTTGTAGTCTTCCCTTCCTGACCTCTGTGCCCAGGCAGCCCTCTGCTGTCCGTCACTAGATATAAATTTTCTAGAATTTTGCACAAACAAAAGAGATGCCTTTCTTTCAATTGGCTTGTTTGAAATTTATCTTTGTGTGACCTGCTAAGTGGTGCTCAGTGTTCAGACATTGCAGTACGTTTATCCAGTCACCTGTGGGTGGACACCATGTTGTTTGCAGATCTTGGCCAGAGATTTACTTTTATTTAATCTCCAGAGAGTCAGCTTTTGGTTTCATTGACGTTCTCTGTTATCTTTCTGTTTTTTACTTCACTGATTTCAGTCTTTGTTGTTTCTTCATTTATACTTTGCTGATTTTCCTTCCATCTGTACTGCTGATTGTTGAGAAGGGCATTAAAGTCTTCACCCCTCACACACCAGTCTGCTTCCCTGGGCGTCCTCTTGCACTGGCACTGTGCATTTTGAGGCTCTGTTGTAGGTGCAGTAGTGTGCAGGGTGTTGTGAAGTGCTTCTTCATCTTCAGAGAGCTCTCTGTTCTGGGCCCCTTGTCCACAGCACAGAATGCTAGGTTCTTTTGATTGGTAGTATCATGGTATATCCTTGCCCACCGTTCTACTTTGTGCATTTGTCTTTATAGTAAAAGTGCATTTCTTATAGGCTGCGTAGAGTTTGGCCTTGTTTTTATCCAATGTGGCGGTCTCTACCTTTCCTATTAGATATTTAGACTATTTACGTTTTGTGTCATCGTTGATGGTTTGAATGTGTTATGCTGTTGGTTTTCTAGTTGTCCCGTGAGTTTTGTGTCTTCTCTCCCTTTTCTGCCTCTTGACATCCAGCTCCATCTCCTTTGTTAGTCTGGTGCCTGTGGTCTTATGCTTCAGGTTTGCAGGAGTCTCAGGAGTCACAAGAGTCACCTGCAGCACTCAGGCAGGCCCTTTTCCTCACCTGATGAGCTTGCCACTGTCATCACACATTCCACCATTGCATGTTGGATAAGTCCTGCACACACTTCCCTTCTCTTCTGTTTGCATAAACAGTCACCTTTTAAGGAGACTCAGACTGTAAGAAGAGCACGTTATATGCTTACCTAGCACATTGCTGTTCAAGGTGCTGCTTGTTTCTTGAGTTCATCTGGTCTTTCACTGTGTGTGAAGGATTTTCCTCAATCTTTACTGTGGGGCAGGTCTGCCTGGCCCCTCTCTCAGGGCAGGGGTCTGCTGAGGTGTGTCCTTTTAGCTCCCGTTGTCCTTCTCCTTTCACGTCACGTCTCCTTTCAAAAATCTGTGGGCAGATTTTTGGTGGGAAGGGTGGCCCAGCGTCGTGCTGGTTTTCCTCTGGTGAGGGGTCTGCTTCCTGCCCTCCTGTTCTTTGTCTTCATATTCCTCTGGCTGCTTTGAGTGACTTCTCCTGGTCACTCCTTGAGCAGTTATGTGGGCCCTGCTGTGCTCTTGTTCGTGTTTCTGTGCTTGAGTGTGTTGGTTTCCGGTCTGTGACTTCATGTGTTTGTTTCACTTGGCTAATTTCCAGTGTTATTTCTTCGGTGTTTCTTTTACCTTCTTCCTGCTCACCAGGGCTTGGGTGCCAGCTGCTGGGCACTTGGCCTGTGTGCTGCTTGCTCTGAGATGCTGGGTCCTGTCTGGGTCCTCGCTGGGTTTTGGTCGCTGTCTTCTGTGGTGTCTGGTCTGCTCTTCGTCCTATCTCATTGCTTCTCAGGTCCTGCCTTCTCTCACCATCTGTTCCTCAGCTCCCGTAACCACATGGCAGTGAATGTGAGTCTGTACATTCTGATACCTGCCACTTCTGGGTCCACTTCAGTTTTTCTCTCATTTGGGATCTGACTTGCTTTGCAGGCTGGTCAGTGTTATTAGGTACCAGACTTTGGATCTCACCTTGTTGGGCCATGGATCTTTCTTTCCTGAAGGAATTCTTGAGCCTCGTCCTGGGATGCTCAGGAGCTCGGCCACTGGCTGCTCTGGGGTGTGGTCAGCAGGCCCCCAAGGTCTGATGTGGCTGTGGCCTGTGTGTAGGTACGTGCAGCACTATGGCCTGGACGGCGCCTCTGACGACATTGAGCATGTGCTGAAGAGAGTGGCCTTGCGGCTGCGGAAGACCCGGAAGGTGAAAGTGCTTACAGGCACTGGTGAGTGAGGCTGTGCTGTGCCACTCAGGGTCTGTGTGTTCCCTGGCTGTCCCTAGAGGAGGGCAGGAGGAGGGAGGCGTGGGGGTTGGAACATGCATGGGCGGTGGTGCTGTCCTGGGGTTGGGGATTGGGCAGAGGAGCTATTGAAGTATCTAGAGAGAAAGGAGCTTGTAGTCCAGGCTCCAGAGTGTGGGACTGGCCCTGTCCCCTGTCCTTGGGTGGTGCTGAGTGGACATTATGCTCTTCTCTATGAACAGGCCTGGCCTGAGCTTTACTCACTGATGCCCAATGTGACTGTCTTGGGGCTGGGCTATCCTTCTTGGAGGACCCTTTCTCATCAGACCCACTGTCTCTAGGGGATGTGAATGTCGTCCAGCCCAACTACTCTGCGGCAGCCCACGACTTCCTCCGGACCTTCCGCAGTGGGCTGTTTGGCCCAGTGATGCTCGACTGTGATGTTCTGCAGGACTGCCCCGCTGCCGACACAGACTCGGCGCCTGCTGCGTGGCAGATGGCTTCCCGGACCTCATGTGGACAGAGCGTTTGAGGCTTACGACTTCCCACTTTTTTCCAGAAGCAACCACGCTGGTCCCTTTGATTCAGGGCCCCACTTTCCCACTCACTGTGGCCTGGCCAGCCCGATGGAGCAGGCCTGCGTGACTGGCCTGGTGAGGCGGTTCCTGTTTAGTGTCTCTAGGGAGAGGCTAATGCTGTCTCGAGGAGCTAAAACTGTAATCTGTAATGTTTAGAGTTCTGGATGAAAAGATCTCTCTCTTCTGGCTCTTTCATTGTACACCCATGCTACCTTGGGCCCACATATTGAAGTCCCTCTCCCAGTGAAAGCTGGAACAGGCAAGTCAGGAATGGGGCTCTCGATGTCCTATGGCCCTGCAGTGACCAAGAGTCTTATTCCCAGTGCAGGGGTTTATTTTGGTTAACTTTGTTATTAAATGAATACATAAACATGGATGGAGGTTCAGAGTAGTGGAACCCAAGGATTTCCTCCCCCTCAGTGCTCTGCTTTCAGGAGGCCACAGGCCCATGGCTCAGCTGTACAACAGGCCAGAGAGTCATGGATGGCCAGCTCCTAGCCAAGGGGACAGTGGCCCTCTGCTTCAGGGGGGCCCAGAGGAGGTGCCGAGGACCCATCCCAGTGTTGTGTAGGGAATGTTGCTGTCAGCAGCCTGCATTCTAGAAGGCAGGGTGGTTGGGTTAGCGCAGACGGGAGGTGCTAGTGAGCCTGGACCTGGTGAATAGCTCTGACCTCATTGTCTGGTGGTGGCCTAGCTTTCCCACAGCTGCCTGAGCATCTGCCAGTCTCTGATGCTCAGCTGACTCTCTCCATGCTGTGGGCAGCTGCTCCCAGCGGCTGGTCTTCCAGTAGTGCCTCCCACTGCAAGTGCTGCATGATTGACCCATTCTGAGGGTGCCTTCTTAGCATTGTCTGTGTCTTTCTGAGGAGGTATTCAAGGGCCCTTGGCTGTGCGAAAAGCTAAACACACTTGAGGTGAGGCTGGTGTGAAACAAGCATTGAAAAATGTTTTCGTTGCCTCTGGAACCTTTTGACACCCGTGCGCTGTGGTGTGCAAGGGTCTGATCCAGTGCAGCCCTTCAGGGAGGCATCTGAGAAGCCAAGAGGGCTTTGGTGGGTCTCCCTGTACCAAACTGGATGATGGAGGGATCTCATCTGCTTTTGAGAGATCGGCGGGCTTGGCCTTGGCTTGCTGGTCTTAGGTGGCATCCAGCTTGGTTTGGAAGGTATGGAGGAGCATCGGGGCTGGCTGTGCCCTGAGCAATGGCAGTGTGGATGACAGGATGCAAGGAGTAGTGTCCTGTGACTGCTTGGCCCAGGTCTTGAGAGTAGCCTTAAAACCTATCCCCAAACCAGAGCCTTGTGCTGGATGGAGAGATGCTGGTTTCAGCATTGTTCTGGCTAAGCCCAAAGGCTTTTTGGTCCCGAGGGTGAGGGCAAGTCCTGGAAAGAGATTGTCTGTGGGTGAGGGTCTCACAAGAGCACCTAGGAGATGGCCTCAGGTGCTTAGAGATAGACATCTTGGCAGAGCTGGGAACCCCTGAACTGGGCTCATGGGCACTACGCTGGTGGGCCCTGGAGACACAAGGGGCCAGTCTATACATGAGGTGTTTGGGAGTTGGAGGCAATCCTTGTAAGGACTGCCAGCATCTTGAGGCTGTTCTGGGTACCCCTCCCCTCAAGATGTCCATGTTTAGATAGCCCTTGGTGGAGTAAGGAGCTCAACTTTCTGTCCTGAGCCCAGGCTTGCTCTTGTCTGACTATACCTGCTGGAGCCTTGGCCCCACTGCTTTGGTCAGCCTTCCTCCAAAGACTTGCAGGTGGCCCTGGGTCTGATGAACCATGGTCTCTCCTGTCTGTCCTCAGCCACTGTGCCACAACCTTACTGAGGACCCTCTGCTTCCACCTGGTCCATCTGCTCTGAGGGAGGGACTGCCCAGTTGGAGATGCTGCTGCTCACCAGAAGTGTAGGACCACTTACAGCACAGGGGGACTCTATAGTGGGATTGGCAGCTGCTGTCCCCTGAGTGATCACTGGATGGGAACTTAAATTACAAGAAAATGGAATTCTCTTGAATGTGGGTTTTTCCCCAGAATGGGTCTCAAGATGAGTTAAATGGTCCTTGGGGCCCACTGGCTCTAAGGTGGAGACCATCACCTGGCAGAGGGTTTTGTGGGAAGTCTGCCAGGCAGAGAGGGATGCTGCCGTGGCCTCCCAGGGCATGTTCTGCTGGGAGCTCTGAGAACCACAGTGGGCATCTTCTGGAATGGATGGCTTTCCTCCCCAAAACATTACTGTGCTGTGAAATCCTCAGGACCTGCCCTAGGCAAGTGGTTAGCACCTGACGTTTCTCACTGCAGCCTAGTTGAATGTTCCTCACTCACTGATATTCTGCTCCTGTGGGAAGTCCATTCCAGCTGCTCTGGTGGGAAGCCCTTGGTCCTCGATCCTCAGGGCTTCAGTGGCAGAGTAGAACCTTTCTGAAGGTGGCCTCTGCCTGGTTGGTCAACACTGTCTACACTCTTCTGTCCAGGGAAGGCCAGGGAACAGGAGTGGCCTGAATGCCTGGTCTTGACACCTCCCAGCCTGCAGGCCTGAGCAGGAGCCACAGCTAATTGCCTCTCTCAGGGGACCCTGACATCCTGGAGCTGGGGGTGCTGCTGATTCCATGGTAGGGTGGGGAGATGGGGAGGCTGGGACAGTCTTAGATGGAGGGTGGGGTCCTCCAGGGCCTGAGGACTGTGGGCAGTGGAGGGAAGAAGTGTTCAAATGCTGTTGGCCTCTGGGACAGCCTGAGGGGCCTATGGAGAAGGCTGGGCTGGGGGCCAGGATATGGATCCCAAGCACAGCTGTGCCTAGGGCTGTAGCAGCCCCAGGGTGCCCAGGGCTCCAAGGGCACCACCCAGCAGCAGGCAGAGGCACAGGTGGTGGGAGGACTCTGCACCAGAAGTCCAGGTCCAGTAGCTGTACACACCCCTGCCTGTCCCGTTGCCGCCTGGTGCCCAGTCCTCGTCGTCCTCCCGGCCACCCTCCTTTGGCCCTGTGGCCCTTCTCCAGCCTGGGCCCCCAGCCAAGCTGGCAGCTGCCCCCGCCGCAGCCCCTGCTGCAGCCCCTGCTGCTGCCACGCGCAGAGTTGAGCCTGCTCCGCTGTAGCGGGGGGCAGGCCTCACGCGCACCCTTGAGGCCCCGCGTGCTCCACCGCGCAGGCCTCCGCGGGCGCTGCCCCGGGCTCCTCCACGGCCACCTTTGGCTGCACCGCTGTCGCAGAGGAAAGCTGCAGCCAGTAGCAGAGCCCAGCAAGTTGCAGCTGTCCAGTTCATCTTCATTGGCAAAACTGCAGAAAGGAAGCAGAAGGGACTTCAGCTTCTGCGAGAAGGGGCACAAGGGCATACGGCAGAGATGAGGTGACAGGGAATGTAGGGCCTGGGCACAGGGTCTGGGACCAGTGGGCTCGGGGTCTGGATACAGGAACATGAGAACTTGGAGACTTGGGAGGCTCAGGTTCTGAGGAGATATAGGTCAGGACCTGGGGACCAGGCTGTTGGGTGAGGGGATTCAGGGCCTGAGGCAACAGAGGTTTGTGATCTAGGGACCAGGATGGGGTTAGGGGATTCAGGGCTTGCTGACAGTGGTGAAGTGGCTCAAGTCCTGGGAGTTTAGGGTTCAGGATCTGGGGACAGGGGCTCAGAGCCTGAGGACAGATTGAGCTGCTTTTGTGAAGATCTGGGAGCTTACCACTTGTGGTGAGGCTGGACTGGGCTGTGTGTGTGTGTTCAGGCCTGGGGTAGGGGCTTGGGGTCCTGTTCACCAACTGGGAAGGGTATGGGGTGGGCTGGGAGGGATTAACACGGCAGGACTGTTATGTGCCTGGGGCCCAGAATTGGGGGGTGCTGAGCGCCTGTGGTGGGGGTGCTCAGGCCTAGCGGTAGGGGCTTCATATCCCCGGCTCTGCGCAGCCATGTTGGGGGTGTTGGAGGGGGTCGTGACTGAAGGATGCCAAACACTCAGATCAGTATCTAGAGAAAGAACGGGCATGTGACCCGACCTGGCATCCCCGATCTCGGATCTCCGGAGCCTTAGAGCCAGTGGCCGCGGCGAAATGGGTGCGGGGTTGGTAACACCGCTTGGACTCCGCCAGGGAAGGCCCCGACCCCAGAAATTTCCCTTCCTGTCCCCGCCCCGCGCCCCACCCTTCCAGGCCGAGGCCCAGCAGTGGGGGAGGGGAACCGGACAAGGATGGGCCCACCCAGCTCTGCACCGAGGGTCTGGGCGGCGTTTCCATCCTCTCCAGGACCGCGCAATCGCCCCCACCCCAGCCTCTCCGGTCCGCTCCCGGACCCCCGCTCGGACTTACCTGCTGCGGGCCTGGGTCGGAACTTCTGCCCAGATGCTGCTCCGGGGCCGGGGCGAAGACCCTCTGCCAACCCGGCGCGGCTGGATGCTGCCGAGGCCTCAGCGAGGACTGAGGGCGGCAGTGGCGGCGGCGGCTCAGCCCCGGGAGACCGGAGGGGAAGGGAGGAGATAAGGCAGGCTCGGAGGAGGGCGCAGCCCCTCTTGTTGTCCGGCCCCCATTGTCGCCGCGCCCCCTCCTCCTTCCTTCTCCTCCCCGCCTCCCTCCCCAGCTCCTCACTTGCCCACAAAAGACCCTCTTGTCCCCATCACCCAGGCGTCTCTGATTGCGTCTTACCCAGCGGAACACACCAGCCCCCTCCCTCTGTGCCCTCCCCACCTGCCCACTTCGTCCATTCCCATTCCCCAGGGCCTCTCCCCAGCCCATCCACGCTCCTCCTTCCGGTCTTCCACATTATTATCCCCACCTGAGTGGACATCCCAGCCACAGGGGCCACAAAAATGTGCCAGGAGGAGAGGAGGGGATGCCTGCCCAGGGTCCCAACTTTCTGAGTCCCACCAGCAACAGGCTCCCTTCCCAGGTCTGTGAGACTTGCTCATGGGCACTGGGATGTGCCCCTGACCATAATTTGGGACTCATGGTCATCCTGTTGTTCTTGCAGTGCCACTGAAAATGCTGCCAGGTACCCTGTGCTCCACCGGGAGTATCCTGATGGCACTAGATGAACTTGCCAGGCCTGGCTCCGGGACCACTTCTGGGAGTGCTCTCCTGGGGAGCCAGCCATGGGGTCTGTCTGTTGCTGTGCCCTCCCTGGCCCTCCGAGGGGCATATGACCTCTGCTCCAAAAAGCATGCAGTTTCCTGGCCACAGGGTCTGCAGCCT